GATATTGTGGATGACACTCACTGTGCTACTGAGGATCTGAAGATCTTTTGGAGTACTAAATGGTATTTTCAACCAGGAAGAACTCAGGATACCTCCCTTGGTAGACATCTCAGTGAATCGCACTTCAAACAGGATTTTATGGTTTCCACATAGAATCAGGAACAGAGCAATAGGAAAAGGCATAGTCTGCAATTGTTTTTCCAAAGAAAAATTCATAGTAAGAAATAATACAAATCAAAAGTTGGTAACAATTGAAGTGGCATATAAACCTAGTAAAATAAACACGTAATCCAGTTAGTAACTGTGGAAGAAGGTTTAAATTTGGTCTCGGATTTGTTTGGGGCTAAACTAACTTTCCACAGTTTAACATATCAACTCTTTCATCTGGGTGGTGGCAGAGAGACAACATTTTAGAATGGCCATTCCAAAACAAGGCTGCTCTAGGAATACAGATGCTCTTCATTTGAATGTTCAGCCTCAGCCATAACAGACAAGGGTATGGAACAGAAGCAGAAAAAAAGTAGGTAGGCACCAACTCTCGGTTATGTCATCACAGATTTTTACCTATTGTTTTCCAAAAAGCTTTTCAAACACTTCAGGAAATGATATTATCCCAGGCATCTTTGTAGTGGGAAGCTGTGAAGGATTGTTGTTTTTATCTGACTGGAACAACTGTGATTGTTCACTATCAATGCACAGAGATAAGCATTTGCCCCAGAAAAGCAGTTGTTTTGATCATTTCTGCTGTGCAAATAGCACATAATTGCTGCCATTCCTTACTTTTCCTTCACAGTAAGAGTGGGGAGCAGGAAAGAGAACTTAGATTAGAAAAAGCTTAGTTTTTCTGAGAGCATGCAGCAGAAATGGAGGATACACTTTTCTCAGAACTGATCAGTTTAGCAAACCATCTGATAATGTTAATCCCTGTCTGCTACTTTCTTGGCTGTGCTGGTCTCATTTGCCAAGTGAGTGTTAAGTGTTAAGAGTATTTAGTATTATTGCAACTGTAGATTCAGGGCTGCAAAAATCTGGATGTGGTTTTCTGTAAACACATAGTAGTCATCAGGAGTTTTGCAGCCCAGATCTGATTGGCCCTTCTGTAAATTTTAAATCCTTGTAACGCTATTTTCTTCTCTGAGATGGAGAAAATGACAGGCACTTTCTGGATTTAAAGGGCTCTTTGCACTGGTTGGTGATATCCAGAAGAAAATAGGGCAGCAAAGTTAAAAGAGTCCATCTGTCATGAAAGAGAATACAGACCACACCAAAAATCAGGATACCACCATTCATCAGTAAGGAAGAACAGTGGCAGGAGAGGTAGGGAACAGCAAAGGAGACTGCAGTTTTTCTGCTATACTATATAGATTTTTATCAACTGGGAGACAGACAGATTGTATTTTAACTGAGCTATGGAGAAAGGCTTTAAGAAATGTTTTAGGAATGAATATATGTTGATCACATCTATTAGAAAAGGCCATACCGGTGTTTTTCTGTCCTTTAGATCTTGCTGTTTAAGCAAAGACCTATACTATAAAGCAGGCCAGCTAGTATGTGTTGTAGCTGGTATGGTTGTGACATAGAACTTTTAAATGGTGTACAAAGGGATAGATAATTTGCTTGACCACATCTCTCCCCTTTCCTCTGTGCAACAGAATGCTTTTATGTAGTGTTCTTGTATCATAGAAGGATTTCTAAGATGATGTAGTGAGCAGCAGTACATAGAGAACTATTACCTTTGGTCTTTAAAATGGATAGCTCAGGAGCGTCTACTTGTTCTTTTTCTTCATCTCAGGTTTGTAAATGGCTAACCTAACATTGTGATCAAATAGGGAATCCCTGTTTTACTTTTATATTTAATACATATCACTCAACAGACACTTAACTTATATTAAGATAAGTTTAACTCAGTAGAGCATGATTTTGAGTAAATATATATGGGATTGCACTTCAGCGTTTGGCCAAGCAGCTTTGTAGTACTTTTTGAAGCTAGTTTTAAACCATCTGACTTACATTTTTGTCTATAAATGTGCTATACTTAGCCCATATACATTATAGAATTTTACTGATTTATTGAAAATGTTTCTATTGTCTATTATAGCTGATCTGCGTTTAACGATGACTCATTCAGTAACAGTTCAAACTTATGATGGTGCTGAACGAGTGGTAGTTACAACCAGTTCTTGTATTTATGGCTGTCGCAGCATCCCCACAGTCACGTGATCATGATTTGCAACCTTTCCTGCGGGCTTCCAACAAGCAAAGTCAATGGGGAAGCCCATTGCAAGTCACTGCTGCAAGTCACATTCATGTGGGGTCCTCACTTAATGACCTGTGCGGTCCTCACTTAACAATGGCAACTGGGACTGCCAGAACTGCTGTCACTAAGTGGTGCAAACATGGTTTTTCGACTTATGACCGTGTGGCTTAATGATGGAGTTTCTAGTCCCAGTTAGCATCATTAAGTGAGGACTACCTGTATGCTACTCATCCTTCATTGGTATTCTAACCATTTTAGTGGGCTGTCATAGTCCATTATGTATATCAAAATCTATAATAAATGTAACTTGAATCAATAAACAGGAAAACCATTAAATTAAATATCTGACAAAACCAAGCTTGAGCTTGAAAATATTGTTTCTAAATTGCATAAAATGACAAGGAGATGACCACACCATTTTTTTCTTCCAAAAACTGCTTCTAAGGAACCGTTTTATAAAAAAATCTTTTTTGTTCTGAAATGTGGTATAAGTCAGAATTGTGAGATGAGTTTATGAGCTTATGAAAGATTTGGCTTCCATTTATTTATCTTGACTAGGTATAATTTTTTATGTACAATACGGGTGTAGTATAATATGTGGTGTATAGTAATGTCCACTGCTGTGAAATATGAAATTGCATGAGATGGGACTAGAACAGATTTTTCTGAATTAGTTGCATATTTGTCCATAATTAAAGGAATCTGGCTAAAACCATTGACAACATAAGGTTATCATGAAAGCATTGTTGAACTTTGTTTTTAGTTCTTGTTTGGTTAATTCATAAAACAAGCTGTATATGGTCCTGCTGATAACATATTTTCTCTTGCCTTTTTGCCTTGATAGAGGGACATGCCCTGTAGCTTTCAGAATTATCTTGTGTTTTTATAACTTGTGGCTTTGCTTCAGGAAAGGGACACTAGCAAATACTCAATAGCATTCCAAAGAGATATTCAGTAAGTTTAAATTGTTTCAGTATCCATCAAATAGTTACTTAATAGAAAAAAGCATTCTAAAGACTATTAAATGTTCTTAAATGAGTCACTTGTTCTCTGTAGTTATAAATACACTGCAGAAAAACAGTCTTCGTTTCTGTACGGTCTTGACAGCTCAAGATAATGTACCCTGGATTTGTGGAAATAACATGTTATCCTTTCTCGTGATTAACTGGGATTATGTTGATAGAAATAATGAAAAGAGACCTATAAAGTTGTTAAGCTATAGGCCCAGATCCATCAACATGTAGCAGAAGCATTTTAGTGTTGATAAAGCTTGTATCACCATTTGCTAACTAATTAAAATTAATTTTTACAATTTGCTGAAATCTAACTTTGCTGAAATCTCCCAAGATTTGGCAATTCTCTTGACATTTTATGAGGTTTTGATATTCTAGTGATATTTTGAAGTGGGTTCTTCAGTAATTTATTTTATCTCTGGATTATTGCACAAGATCTCAGGTCTTCCCTTTACAGTGTTCTCTGCAAACATGGATGGAAATAATTTCAGATTATATATGATGACACTGATTAGTTCAAATTCAGTGTTTGAGTGTACAGAGAAGCGAATATGTTTTGGTCAAAATACATCTGTTCTCACTGGCCAAGAACTTGTGCTTATATTTGAAGATCTCTCCCCTTCACTCTGAAAATACCTCTGTCAGTGGTATGGTTTGTCTAACAGCAGACAATTGTGGAAAAATATATTTTATGGATCTCTCATTCTTAATGTATAGTACTTTCCTTATGCTGCCTCTCTTCTGAATATGAGTGGGCTTACTCTGTTACTGTCAAGTAATTTGTTCTTTCTTCCTCATATTTATCCAGCATGATTCAGACTAACAAATTTTATTAAAAGGCATAAGGCTTCATAGACTGTAGTATCTACTTTTAATAACATTTGTTAGTCTGAAAAGGGGCTGTCAGACTCCTCCTGATTTTTGGCTACCATAGATTAAGCCAGCAATTCTCATATTATTTAATTTTATACTTTGTCAAGTGTGGACAATATAATGCTATGTGTAGATGCATTTGAATGCAGCCTGTGATCATTTCAACATATTGCTTTGTGCATAGAAAATAAGAGGTAGAGGCATTTTAGCAAAAGTTCATATTTTCTTGTTTTTAGGTAATGGAAAATGTATATTTGAAATCTAATTATATAGTGCACTGGCTCAAGATTTGGATTATTAATACTGTATGTTGTTAATAAACTTCACATTTGTAATTAATAATTACATTAGTAATATTTTTGGTACTATTATTTTAATATAAGGAGATATTTGTGAATGAATATTGTTACCTTTCTGTGCATCTAACAGTGAGGAGAAAATTGGCTCAGACTGGGGATACACTGGTCATTAGTTAATCTAGGTATGCTCTACTTGGCTATATGATACTGTAGCATCTAAGATGAAAAAGAAGTTGCATTCACAAACACATACACAGTTTGGGAACAGAATGAATGCTTTTATTGTAATGCTATATATCTACAGTTCAGTGCCATTGGGCACAACCTCCAAATTTTGGATGTGGCCCGTAGAGCCCCTCTCATACTTGGTATTAAATTGAAAGAGAAAATTATCAGTTTTGTTCTGGTTCTGCTTTCTTTTCTGCATCCATTCAGAGGGCAAGTGCAGTTCTCCATAAAAAAAAAAAAAGATTGCAGAGTCTTGCTGTAGTGGTCCCAGCTTTGTAAGAAAAAGGTATTAGAAAATTAACATTTATCTCTTATGCCCCTTAATTTAAGGCTGAAGATTAAGAACACATTGAAATATGTTGGATGCGGATACAGGGATCGTAGAAGATTGGTTATCAGAATTCAAGGTAATCCATGACTTAATTTACAAGAAAGTTTGAAACTAAATTAGTGAATTATAAAATATTTACTATACTTATTTTTTTCTTAGAGATTACAATATAACATTCTAGAATTAATACTATTCCAACCTCCAAGAGTGATGGTGGAAGAGGGCCATTGCCCCCTTGCCAATGCTTGTAAGCTTTTTGAATGTATTTGGCTGGTCAGTGTTTGATATAAAGATATGTTTAATTTAGCAGGGTTTTTTTTATTACAAAGATGGTGTATATTAGATGATGTATTAAGCTGCATATCTTAAATGTTTTTTGTTAGACAGTGCCAGAAGCATCTATAGCAAGTTATGCTAAAAATTTGAAAGACAAGATTTCCCTGGTTTCATCTCTATATAAAGTTATTCAAGATCTACAAAGTGAGGTATCTAAATATTTATTTATTTATTTATTTATTTATTTATTTATTATTGGAGTTGGGATGAACATTGGAATAAATCGTATAGTGACATGTTGACAAGAAGTAAGAAAAAAATAGAATGTAAAATTCTGTTTCCCTCTTCAAAATGCTGTTTTTAGGTCCAAAGGATGTCTTTAACTTTTTGTAGATACTGTTCTATGAAGACCAGAAACTTAATTTCTAAGCAATGTGCTTTCTTCTCAAACTAATGTGAAGTTGAATACAACTTTGCATGTGTACCTTTTTTAAAAAACAAGAAAAAAAGTAAAATAGTCTTCAGGAAGGATAATACTTCTTACAATTTTAGGTAATGAGGATTCCGTTCCTTCTCTTGCTGTGATTCTAATGAAAGGCAAAAATTTAAAAAGAGGATTTTTTCCCCTTCTGTGCAAGGGTTACATCTGTTGAATAAGATAAACAAATGAGGTTTACTAAATACTGGGAATTAATGTAACATTTAACAAATGGAACCTCTCGAAGTAATGAGAAAATGCATCTTAAAGTGACATGTTAAACACGCCAAATATTTAATGCTTGTTTTTCTTTCAGCTGCTGGAACCAGTCTGTCACCAGCTGTTTGAATTTTATCGCAGTGGTGAGGAACTTCTGCTGCAGTTCACACTTCAGTTTCTTCCAGAATTGATATGGTGCTATCTTGCTGTTTCTGCTAGTAAAGACCTACAAAGCAGTGGCTGCATAGAAGCACTTCTACTAGGAGTTTACAATTTGGTTTGTATCTAGAGTTAAGAATTCATTCATTCGTTCATTCATCAATTTAATTGAATTACTTAATTCAAAAAAAGGCTCTAGGTGGCAATGAATTTCATTGTTTGACATCCTTAGATTCTTTTAATCTGATGTACTGTATCTACAGCAATTTACTGTCATTCTGACATTGGTAGAAATGACCATATTTTTGATGACAAATACAGTGGTGCCTTGGGTCACGAACGCTTCTATTCACGACCAATTCGGGTCACGAACAGCTCCGGTCGCAAAAATTTGCCTCCGTTCGCGAACGCTGGATCGGGTCACGAACAGGATCTGAGGCCATTTTCCCTCCCGTGACCCGGTCCGCGGCCATTTTCCCGCCCGTGACATGTGGTCCGCGGCCATTTTCCCGCCCGTGACATGTGGTCCGCGGCCATTTTCCACCCCTGACACATGGTCCCCGGCCATTTTTCCGCCCCTGACATGTGATCCGCGGCCATTTTCCACCCCTGACACATGGTCCCCGGCCATTTTTCCGCCCCTGACATGTGATCCGCGGCCATTTTCCACCCCTGACACATGGTCCCCGGCCATTTTTCCGCCCCTGACATGTGATCCGCGGCCATTTTCCACCCCTGACACATGGTCCCCGGCCATTTTTCCGCCCCTGACATGTGATCCGCGGCCATTTTCCACCCCTGACACATGGTCCCCGGCCATTTTTCCGCCCCTGACATGTGATCCGCGGCCATTTTCCACCCCTGACACATGGTCCCCGGCCATTTTTCCGCCCCTGACATGTGATCCGCGGCCATTTTCCACCCCTGACACATGGTCGTAGGGAGGGGGACTCTCCCTCCAAGCAATAGGCGCCTCCCTGTCCTCCACGCGTGAACGGATTAACGGTAATTACATTGAACCTTATGGGAAAATTTGCTTCGGGTCACGACCAATTTGGGTCTTGACCAGAGTTGCGGAACCAATTAAGTTCGTGAACCAAGGTTCCACTGTACTAAAAATCTGGAATATGAACACATCCTGAATGGTGTTCTCTATGCTGCTAATTGCCTTTTCAATTTTAGTATAGTTGGATGAAGGAACTAGCTTAAAATAGTTGGGTATAGAATATTTGATTATTAATCATTCTTTGTGTTACATGGTTACCCATTAAGATCTGAAAATGGTGGGATAGTTCATATGTGGAGCTATGTTGAGTATGCTTATGATATATAAACTTAGTCCAGAGCCCATGGTTGTGTAAGAAAATGTGCTACAGTCTTATTCTGGAATGAATGAGTCCAGAGATAGGCTTCTGTTTGTTTGTTTGTTTTTTGCAGACTTTCTTTCCCAGTCATCAGTATTTCTGTTGTGTGGAAAAAAAAAGATCAGAGGAAAATTGGATGTTCATGGGTACAGCACTATAGTGGGATGCATATGCATATCTTCCTTGCTTGCTTTAGGAGTACTCCTAAGTATATAGAATATGTCTTTTGCTTGAAAGTGACAAACTGGGTATGAATGCAGATGAGTATATATAAATTGATTTCTAGTAATAGGTATGAATGAAGAAGAATGGATTCATACCAATGAGTCCTTTGCCCACATTTTCAATGGCTGTAGTCTGTGGTATATATTCAGTAGATTTCATTTTCAAAGTGGTAGGAAACACAGCCTCTTTGCTGGCAATTAATTTTATCTCTGTACTTTATTAGCATGTTTGTGTTCAGAAACAAAAAATAATTATACTACTAATAGTGATAATACTGTGTATGATACTGTGTATGATAATGGCCTGGATAACACCCATGAGAGCAGTGTTATGTATTTGATACCTTTCACCAGCAGTATTTGACTATACCACTGCATTTGGCATATATAAGGTTTAAATGTATAATGTTTTGATTTCTGGGGAAAAAAAGGAAATTAAACTGGTATTTCTAAACTTTTAGTTGTACTTACAACAACATCATTTTAGTTGTACTTACAACATAAAAGCTAACACTTTTACTGGGGCATATGCTTTCTTGTGTCGGAGCTTATTTTATCAAATACATGAAGTTATTATCTATGTGGTAGGTATATATCATGAAGGGAAAGACAAGATCTCAGAAAGTCTAGAGGTTCAAGAGACAATTGCATTAAAGTGCTAGGCAGAGAATAATAAATATCAGTTCCTAGAGCAGTGAGTTTAATTAGTAAATGGTGAATACACCTAGCAGAATTTGTAATGTCACTAAAAAACCTAAAGACCTAAATATTCCTATATTATTGGAATATACTAATTATTTAACGCATTTAATTACTCATATAGATGTGTGAATGGTCTCTACATTGACTCTTATAGAACTATGTATATTGTTTTCAAGAGTGCTTCACAGTAATAATCCCCAATTTTAAGTGATATATTTTGTGGCATTATGGCAATTTTTATTTCATAAGTAAAGAAGTGAAAACATATATTGCAGCCATTCTCAAATTATTTCACACAAGATTATAATGATTTTTAATGAGTGCTTCCAAAGTAATAGAATACTATATATGACTCAAAGAGTGTATTGTAGTTAAATGTCCTGGATGTAAAGAATTAAGATATGTTTGTTTTATGTTACGTCTACCCATACTTATAAATGTCCATCTTTGCATATAATAATATGTTTTATGGCATTATGCCATGGGAGGCTTATATCCTGCTTTACCTTTGTTGATGTGCATTTTATACATTTTGAGAATATGAATAACTTGATTATTTTCTCCACAGGAAATAGTTGACAAACAGGGGAACAGTAGGATCCTAAGCTTTACAATTCCATCTTTATCTAAACCTTCAGTATATCATGAAGTAAGTTTTAAAAGTATTCTTGTTTGGTATTATCTTTATAGCTTTGTTCTAGTCTCTCTTAAAAGAATATAATCTGGCCTTTTGTCATTAAATTAGTGGTGGGCATCCTTTGGCTGCACTTACAATTTGGGAAAAATAAGTTGGGCCACATCACAAAAGCCAGTGGAACTTCTTTTAAAATATAGGGGCTTACACTATAATTTCCATCTCCAACTGGGCAGGGGAACAAATTCTTTCTGGGTCTGAAGTTATACTTGGTTTTTGATATGTTGGTGCTATGCTTCAAAAGGTGGGCAGAACCAGGCCAAATAGTAAATGTGATTAGTATTCAAATACATTTAAACATACATTAAACCCAATATAAGATTTTACTACTCATGTATTTATTAATTTTCTGTGACATTAAAAATGATGGTTCAGCAGCAACTTTTGGAAAGGAATTGTGTGGTTCTTTATTGCCACTTTATTGGGATCTGTCATAACACCTTACCATACCCTAAGACTGCTGAAATGGTAGATGGCGGTTTATATTATTTTAGTGATATTGAATCTTGTGTCCTTTAGAACAAATGTCCTACTTACCATATATCCATCAGTATTACGTATACACTGACATTAAATGTACACTGATAATTTATTAAGTATCTACCAAGATTTTAAATATCTATATTCATATTACTCCCCAGAAAGACATTTGTACTGTATAGACAAACATACTCAATTAGGGAATATTTTGTTAATATAGTTAAAAATGGAGGGTAGATTTAATAAAATATTCTTAGAGAACACCTTTTGAGGTATTTGAAAGCTCTTTGTTGTTGTATTAAGTTTTCATCAGTGGTATTTTCCACACTTTGAAATATGATCAATTAAAATAAAGATATGCAATACTTTTCTTGGAAGTTTGTAACTCTTGGGAAACATATATTGTATAATAAACACAGTATGACCTACTGCCATAGATTTACCTTAAAATTTTTGACCAAAATGAATAATTAAATGGGTATTATCCAAAATGGGCATGTATGCCAATTTAATTACAACAAAACTCTAGAAAGGTTTCAGTTAATTCTATTTCAGAGGGCTGTATTACTATCTGGAATATTTCTATAAACAGTTCTTAATGATAAACAGCTTTCTTGCTTTTGATTTTTTTTTTAAAGATCACTAATGCTGTCTTAAGTGACATATTGAAAAAAACTATTTTGTTTAGCCTTCCAGTATTGGTTCAATGGCTCTTACTGAGGGTGCTTTATCTCAACACGGCTTATCCAGGGTTGTATATAGTGGACCTCATATGCAGAGAGAAATGTTAACAGCACAAAACAGGTAAAATTTATGATGTTACTTTCAACTTTAGAGATTAAAGAAGCAATCTTTGCATATTTCCAAATTATCCTTTTCTCATAACTTAATATTTCACAATTACAGTTTTTTTAAAGCATGGGCTAGATATATGCATTGGTGATATGACCAGTGATGACAAAATGTTTATGTTTGCATGATTAACAGCACTTTTGTGAGTTAATCATAATCCTTTATTTATTTACAGGTTTGAAGTATTGACATTCCTTTTGCTGCGTTACAATGCTGCCTTAAGCTATATGCCTGCAGTTTCTCTTCAGTCGTTGTGTCAGATCTGTTCAAGGTAATTTTTTTTGAAGGGATTGATAATGATTAATTATGGCTGCAATCATATAAGAATACATTTCACTGAAAAACAAAAACATACATTGGAGGGAATATGAAAACATTCATATTCGGGTAGTTTTGACATAACTGCAGCTTACCAAATCCCTGTTAAATAAAACATGTCAGAATTCAGATCTTCCCAGAAGCATAAGCTCTTTATATCCATATTGTGATTCCTTTTCAGTTTACTAGCCACTCTATTATGCTATATTGATACAATGTATTGATACATTGCTTCATGAAAATGGTTAATGTTTATGGATCCAGCAGTTGTGGTAATTTCTGTGACTCATTGGAAGAGATTTGTTTTGTCTCCAGTACTGTTCTTTTTGACAAGTGGAAGAGAACATTGAATTTTTATCCCCCCCCCCTTTCTCTCTCATGTTGGTTTGGATCAAAGGATCTGTATGCAGAAGGAGAAACTGATAAATATGCCATAAACATTTTTTCACAAGCCAGCTCATTGAGTAAGGAAAATACAACATAAAATGAGTAAACTCCACTGGACCATATAAAGATTATGCAAAATATTATATAAGGAAGAATTTCTATAATTACTTTTTATATATTTTGAAAGCTCATAGATGTTAATTAGACTCAGTCCTGAAAGCAGAAAAGGATGTAATGCATTTACTCAACCTCCTAAGTACATTAGTAATTTTGATTATTAACACAATAAAAATACAATTGATTGTTTGGGTTCATAAATCAAATTTCTAATGCCACTGCGTAGAGATTACATTCTATATTATTTTTTTAGTAGTTCATATATAGGACCTCTGTGCCAAGAACCTCCCCCTAAACAAAGGGGAAAAAAGACACAGAGACTCTTTCACAATTGATCTCTCCATGTTTGAAAGAATGAAACCACTTGAGGTGCATGAATAATTAAAGTGGCTATATAATTGTGATGGGATCATTTTGCAAGTGATGGTGGTGTCATAAGAACTGTCTCTTTCTTTATTACACTTTCACTATCCTTCCTCCCAGTAGCTTCAATCATATGCATTGTATGATTCTTTTTACTGTACAGTATGCCTCCCAGAGTCATTACAGAGTTGGGTGGCCTTATAAATTTCTTAAATAAATAAATAAATAAATAAAATAAAATATAATATACAGGTCTTCTAAACTTAGTGAAGTCCAGAGTATGAGAAGCCCCTCTGGAGAACATCGTTGAAATAGGGTGTGATACAATAGAGTAATTTTACTTATTGTAAAGAGAGAAAAAATGAAGACATTTTATTATTGTAATAGCAATACTTATAAGGCTTTGGAAAGAAGATGTTCTGAAAAAAATTCTACTCAGATTGTTATGTATTTGCTGAGATAATTTATTCAGAATGGAAACTATGAGATGACATTAATTGGCATACACGTAGTCCTTGGATTACAATGGCAACTGGGACTGGAATTTCTGTCACTAAGCAATGCAGTCATAAAGTGCAATGTCATGTGACTGCATTGCTTAGCAACGGCAATCCTGCAGTCTTGGTTGCCATTGTAACCCCAGGACCATGCGGGTCATTATGTGGGAAGAGGTGGGAGACCCAAGCAAGCAGGCCAGTGGGTGAGAGCTGCAGGTGAGACTTAAGCTAAGAGTTAAATGTAATTGAAGTAACTGTATTATTATTTAGTCAGTTGCTAGCTGTTCTTTGGTATAAAACAATCTGAGTTTACAAAGGGACTGCATTAATAATAATTTATTAAATTTATATGCTGCCCAACTCCCAGCAACTCTGGGCAGTTTACAAATTGTTAAAAACATTAAAACAAGAAAACAACACAAAACAGAAAAGAACAAAATTGGCAGAGATAACAAACACAGATGGGAACAAAGAAAAAGAAGAAAAGGGAGCTTCAATCACACCCACCAAAGGCCTGGGCTAAGAGCCAGGTGTTCAGGGCCCTTTGAAACAGCTGTAGGGTGGGGGCCATTTGAATCTTGGAAGGAACTTCATTCTAGAGGGCAGGTGCTGTTACAAAAAAGGCACACTTCCTAGGTCCCTATAGATGGCATTGTTTAATCAAAGGAGTGTGCGAACCCTGCCAGATCCAATCAGTCAGGTAGATTCTGTGGGAGGCAGACAGTCCTCAAGTATCCAGGCCCTGTGTCATGTAGGGCTTTATAGGTAGCGACCAGCACCTTGAATCGCACCTGGAAGCAAACTGGCAATCAGTGCAGTTTGCAAAGCAGAGATTTTATGTGAGCATACTGAGGGATGCTCATCACTGCTCGCACTGCTGCATTCTGGACCAGTTGAAGCTTCTGGGTGGTCTTCAAGGGCATTCCCTTGTAGAGTGCATTGCAGTAATCAAGCCATGCGGTGACCAGGGCATGAGTGACTGTCTGAAGGGCTCCCCCAATCAAAGAAAGGGTGCAACTGGCACACCAAATGAAGCTGTGCAAAGGCCTTCTTGGCCACAGCTGTCACGTGTTCTCTCCTCACCTATCAAAACTGGCCTCGGAGAAAGGAAGAGAACCACTGTAAAATGGTACCTTCAATCCCCAACCCACAGAGGCGGCTCAGAAGGATACTGTGGTTGACAGTATTGAAAACCACAGTGAAATCAAAGAGCACAAGGATGGATGCACCACCACCATCCTGGCTCCACCATAGGTCATCAGCCTGAAACATGACTGAAACAAATCTAGATAATCTGTTCCTCCAAGGTTCCCAGAAAGGGAAGGTTGGAGACTGGTCAATAGTTATAGAAGACCATTGGATCCACCACAGCCTCTTTCAAGGCTGGGAGCACCACCCAAAGAGGCCGACACTACAGCGTGGAGCCAACTGTGGGTCACCTTCCTGGCCACTTTCATGACCCAGGATGAACTCAGTAAACAACTGGCTAACAGCACAGAGAGCCTTGTCTACTTCCTCAGGAGTCACCAGCTCAAATGCATCCCAGATCATATCACCAGACCATGCCCCAGGCACTTGGCCTGCCCTGCCCAGCCAGAGTCCAAGGTGGAGTGAATCTGAGCAACTGATTATTCAGATAGCCTGAATAATCCTCACAGCGGCCCAACAGATATTCCGAGGGAACCTTCCCTCCCCAACAGGGACTGAATCACAATAAACAGGACTGCTGGACGGCCATCAGCAGACGCAATAAAGGTGGAGAAATATTGATGTTTCGCCACCCTTATCACTACGAGGTAACCTCTAATATGGGATCTTACACATGTCCGATTGGACTTGCTTTGAGTCTTCCTCCAATGGTGCTCCAGGTGTCTCTTCTTGCAGTTCATCTCCCAGGGCTGCTCGGTAAACCAAGGTGCACTTTGGGATCTGTGCACAGAGAGAGGCCGCATAGGAGTAATATGGTCCAAGGTCCCAGCAACCCACCCATTTGAGGCAGCAACTAAGGCCTTGGCTAAACTGACCACCAGATTCTCAGGGAAAATCCCAAGCTCTGTCTGGAATCCCACTGGGTCCATCAATCACCTGGAATGGATCAATCAAAGGGGCCCTGTCTCTTTGCAGGGAGGGGTGACACTAGGGAATCGAAAGGCAAGCATGGAGTGATCTGTCCACAGCAATGACCTGATGTTAATGTTCTCCATTGCCAGATCACATCTCAAGTGCCCCAAGGCAAAGACCAGTTCTAGCATATGACTTCTGGTAGGCCCATCAATGACTTGGGACAGGTCCATGGTTGCCAAAGCATTCCCTAGCAATTGGAGTGGAGAGCTGTAGAGTATGTCAGTATCCTAAGTATGTTTAGTTAGCTCCTCAAGTTTCTCTACTGCCATAGTGTGTGTTCTGTATTTTATTAAACTATGAGACTTTATCAAGCATCAGATTATCAACTCTGTTTTCTGGTGTAATTGTGCTTGATATAGCTTCTGTTTCAGTAAAAATAAATGCCCCTGGTCAGAATGAAGTATAGTTTATTTTCCTCTCAGCCATTTCTGTTATCAGTTTTATCCTTATCAAAAGTGGTAATCAAGACCTCCATCATGCATGTAATATAATAATTAACAGTTTTAGAATTAATAATGGCTCCCAAGGTTTAAAGAGAGATTTTTTTGTGTCATCTTAAGAGATATCCAATTTTGCGAATACATTTTTTTCCAAAAATTGCTGTACTTGATTCATTCTTTATTTAAAAGAATACAGTATATGCAACCTCAAGCTATTATATTTTTGAGTTACTGCATATTGATTTATAATTTGACTAGTGAAATCTGCATTACTTATGTCTAATATATTTTGCCATCTTTTCCTTTCCTGCATTTGCTTATTATGAACAAATCCTGTGTCAATTTTATAAGCCAAGGAATTCATTACCAGTAGATGTAATGATAGCCTCTAATTTGGATGGCTTTAAAACAGATTGGATAAATTCATAGAGAACAGGTTTATCTACAATTATCTGTCTTGAACTCTCAATTTTACCTCCAGGTTTGGGGCAGCCTGTGTTTAAATATTACTTGCAAGAAAACAATAGGAGAGGGTTATGTCTCCATCTGCTACTTTTCAGCATCCTAGAAGCGCGGTGTAAGAAACAATATGCTGAATTAAGATGGGCTTTGGTCTGTTCCAGGAACTATTCTTAAATTCTTCAGATTGTCCATAGTTCAGAGTATCCGTAAAGTTAGCTTATGGTTTAATGTGTTGTATAAACTCACCCATTATGGCATAGTGTATGTGTTAACCAAACCATGATTTTAAAAATCCTTACTCATTGTTCTTTGTAAAGTCAGCTTTTGTCTTGCACCACTGGAGCTATCTGAATTCAGAAACTGTTGGGATTCATGCCCACTAACCCTTTTTACTTATATGATTAATTAAGATTAAGGAGCCACATCTAAGCATCTGCCTCTAATTCTTAGAATACTTTGGTATACAGAGGAGTTCATGGTCGACTCAATGACTGCAAGGTGCCCAGGTCCTGTGGCTGCAAAA